CAAAAACTAATTCATGACAGTTGTATTGGTTACGTGTTGTGGCACATGGTCTAAGTCGTGGTTATATTGGTTACATGAGGGGTTGCACAAGCTCGTAGTTATATTGGTCATCGTTAACGTTTGTCTTAGTCGTCATCATGCAGCAGCAGTCATCATCTCAGCTCAGCGTCATCATCGAGCCATTTTAGCAATTTTTTGAATGAAAATCATCCAAACTTTTTCCTTCCAATCACCACACGTGATATAATTAGTGAAATTTATCGTATTTATCCCAGTATAGCAATGAGGTATAACCTGTTATCGATGCTACTCTCTCCGTATCCCGTCCGTTTAAACGCATTATAAATCCCCCTATGCTCGCAAAAATCACTCCCATACATAAAATGGATCTGCCTAGGATGTTAATAATTATAACAATTTTAATTTTTTTGATAAATATTATATTCTTGTGAACAGAATTCGGGAAAAAATACAGCTTAAAACTTCAGCGATCCTATTTTTACCATTAATGATAATATGGACAAAACATGTTTAACCTTTGGTTTCTTTTTTGACTCCAAAAATATTCGACACTGTAGACCATAACATTCTTCTGCACAAACTAACATACTATAGAATAAGGCGTCTTCCAATTCTCTGGTTTTCGAAACTATCTTGTAAACCGCCTGAAAACCTGAAAGTCAATGGTTGCACGTAAATCGGTTAAATGTGGTGTTCCCAATGATCTATGTTGGGCCAATATACTTTCCTATTTATATTGATGACATAAATAAATCAGTAAACTCCGTCGACTTTCGGCTTTTTGTCGATGATACTAATTTATTCAAATTCATGAAAAGTAACCCCGTAAACCTATTAATGACGACTTGACAAAGTTCCTTAATGGTGAACGGCAAATAAACTCATGATCATCATAGGGATTGGTGTGACAATATACCCGTCTGAGACGTTGAAATCACACATAGAAAAAAGTTAAAATCAGTATATGCTCTAAAGCTGCGGACATCGTATAATGATCGAGAATTGTCGATATTATCACAAACTAGATTTTTTTAATACCCGTTTGAGTATTTTGGGTTTTATCAATGTAAACCCGGACACGCTCTATTTAACCATTTTCACATATTACAAATCGTGTTAAAATCATTCTTTTGTATGGACATATTCAACCAACCAGTATAAATTGTGACGAATAGCGCCGATAGCGGCCACTAGATATGAACCACCAGTAATCGACATAACGTTTGGAAATCTAACAATCGTGTACATTACTTGTGTGGATTTTATAAGGGACAGTCCATTAAGAACTCGGGGTAGATTTTTCAAAAAAAAAATAATACAGAGAAAATTTCATAAAATATCTTTATTGATTAAAATATTAATTAATTACTGTACATTGTTTTTGTTGTCTTGAGTAATGTTTTCTCTTTCCTTAGTAAATAACTGGCATGACAGCAAGAAGTGTTTTCATTTTCTTTAATTTCACAAACTGCCCATTTCAATCTGCAATCGATGGGCACTTATCCTCTTTTCGGTCCCTTTCGATATTCAATTTTCTTGAGGTTTTCTGAAGTCTTCATAATGTCAACGTAATGTTATCGGTGTTATTAGAAAGTACTTGTCTTGGAACGTGTTTCTTTCTATCCTTGTTATTAGCTTCGAAGTAATTCTGATCTCCACCATATGCTGCGAACTGTGCTTAGATGTTAGAACTGAGGCGAGCGTGCAGACAACTCTTACACTTTAGAGATACCCTAGTTCGACCATGGAGCTAAACAAAGAAAAAGGCGTGGCAGAGTAAACATGCAATCAGCCATTCGCTGCAGCCGTTGACACGATCACGTGATACCAGGAGTTTGTCTCGCAGTTAAAGAATTGCGAAATTGCTACAGAAATTTTGCATGGGGGAGGGGTGGGGGGGTGGGGTCTGTTCACCAACCTTTGGCAGAAGGCGTGACCTTATTAGGGGGTCCGGGGCATGCTTCTCCTTAAAAATGTTGAAATCTAGACCCTCTGAAACCTGCATTTTGAGGGGCAAATGTCTGCCTTAAACATGCAAGTTGTTAATGTCGTCATCGTTGATGTGATGTCATTATGGCAACAATGTGATGAAAACGGATACAAGATGAGTAGTCGACCGCACAGGAAAACAGAGTTGTTTCAACGACACTGCGTTCATCCATTATATCTTTCTACGTAACAATTTGAAAATAGCTTTGTCATTAGAGGGCGCTTATAGAGAAGGTTTATGTATGTTTTATAGTGGGGATGTCGTATCACTATTTATCATTTGCAAACAGTTTATAGTGTTGTTCTTAAATGGGTAATTAATAATGAAGTGATTTGCATAAAGTGTTTTGCAACAGCATGCAAGCGACACAGCAGTTTCCATTATGGTCAATCTGAAAATCTTAAAGCGCGGTGGTCGTCGGGCAGCGCGTGTTCGAATTTCATGCAAATAAACAATTGAATGTATTTTACATGCGTTGTATACGTCGCTGTCAGTCCCATATCGAACAGGACGCGGCACGACGACTGTTGTCCTTTAAACATGTGACCGCACGTCACAATGACTAATGTGTTCCTTGTAGATGACCCCGATCAGGGTCACTGTACATTGTTGTTGGGCCGCAACGTTCGCAGTTTCCATACACATTTACAGCACTGATTTGTTTACAACGAGTTTGTAAGTTATGGTTTAATTGACACATTCTTTCATGCAGTAACAGCAACGCGGAAGTAAATGCTGGAAACTCAGTCAAGTATTTGAACTGCCTGACGGGTCTGTTGTGACGGGTCACCTGTCTAGGTGTTTATGTCCCCAGTCCGCGCATGTCACGAGTTACCAAGTTACTAATTAACATAGCAAAATTGACGTCAGAACTTAGAAGGAAGACCAGAACCATGGGTTATATAATTCACAGATATAGTGTATTCGTTGTTGTCACTGGATTTGTGTTAATTTCGATGGTGTCACTAATTCATTGTCATCGTGATACATATGCACTTCCGCGACTTTCGCTTCCGCAACGTTATAATTCGCCTGATGCAATGTCCCGAAGGATTGATACACATGGCTGTCAGAGTTACGGTACAACACCATATATTGAAGAGATATTCGTGGGTAGATGCTGGGACTACCAATATGTGTACAACGACGAATCATGCATGGTTCGGTAGGTTCTAGAAATGTCTCAGTGACCATATCTTTTAAAGCTGTTTTCTTGGTTTGCCAGACAGTAATGTTTTTATCTTAGTGAAGCCTGTTCAAACATTTTTTTCATATAATCCTCCACAATCCAAACTCTCAAAGACTTTTGACTTCGTTTCTGAAACCGAAAGCTGCTATTACAAATTTCCGAGAAACTGAGAATGAATACTAATATCAATGTACCACTTTGCTTAGACGTTTTGTGTGTTTTGTGTGATCGCTTACATTTTTCTGGACGTGGGATGGTACACAGCTCGTGGGTACATTGGTTACGTGAATCAGTGGCACACACCTCGTGACTTGTTGGTTACGTAAACCAGGGGCGGCACAACTCGAGGGTACATTAGTTACGTGAATCAGTGGCACACACCTCGTGAATTGTTGGTTACGTAAACCAGGGGCGGCACAGCTCGTTGGTACATTGGTTACGTGAATCAGTGGCACGCACCTCGTGACTTGTTGGTTACGTAAACCAGGGGCGACAGAGCTCGAGGGTACATTAGTTACATGAATTAGTGGCACACACCGTGTGACTT